CCTGATATATTTGACTGGGTTATATTTGAAATTTCTGCACAGTGGAAGACACCATGCGGTACACACAGGAGCCTGCGAGAGTACCTCTGCCCAGCATGAATGAATGGCCAAGTGACACGAGTGACACTATGAGCTTGGTGCCCTCTCCATCCAGAGCCAGAGGTGGAAGCCAGGCCCTTCCTCCCAGCTCAGACTCCTACATCCCCAACTTGAGCCATGGTGCACATGCTGGGCACTTACTGTGTGCACAGCAGAGGGAGCTGAGCTGCATCCAGAAACAGATCTAGGAGCTCACAGAGCCAAGGCCTGGGTCTCCATCCCTGGAGGAGGGTGGTGCCGAGAGCAGGGCCCCCAGCTCTCACTGGCCCGGAGCTCACCGTGCAGGGGCAGCCCAGGCCCTCTGGGGATGCCATTGGGGTGTCGGCGGCCAAGGAGCAGAAACAGCTGTGGGTGCTTCCCTCGGAGGACTGGGTGGGGCTGGGACCACGAGGACCTGCCCACTGCCTTCTCTATGGGGCATCTGGCTGTGTCTGGGAGTATCTCGTGGAAGGGCCCTTTCTACCATGGGGGATCGGTAGTCCAGACTTGTCTGGGAGCCAAGGATACCAGGCATGTCAAGTAGGTTCTTCTAGAAGGTTTTCCCTCCTGGAATGTCTGTGTCTCTGCCCCTCTCCTGCTGCCTGCATCAGGAAGGGAGGGAGCAGATGGGCTGGTGAAGTGAGTGATGTCAATCACATGTATCTACCGTCCAGGGCTCACTCTGTGCTGAGGGTCCTTCCAGGAATATGTGGCTCACCAGCGTCCCACCCCATAGAGAAGGTCAGGGGCCGGCCCTGGCAGCCAGGGCTGGAGCAGGAGGAGGCTGACCAGGAGTGTGGGGGTGGGAGAGGGAGAGAGGGACCCCACTGTGCCACCCCAGCACAAGGGACACTGGTCTCTCCGATTCCTGGCCTTCCACGAGGCGGGACGCCCCTCCTCCTCCTCTGGGCTCCTCCTCTGCCCCGCGGGGCGGTGGATACAGTGGGGCTTCCACCTCAGGACCTCAGGAGCCGCGTACGTGGCACACAGTGGGCCTCCTCGACAGCTGCTCATGAGCAAACAGGCCCAACCCCTTCTGGTGGGAAAGACGCAGACACACAAGCACACACAGACAGCGACGGGACATAAAGGAACCTTCCCCAGGGTTTCCCAGACACACCCAGATGTCTACCTCAGCTCTGCCCCAAGTCAGAGGATTGCAGCAATTCTTACCGGGAAGAGTAATGGGGAAGCCACGTCATCAACCCCGATCATTTCGTTTTCATTTCTGGGTTCTGACAGCAGCCCCAGCTCCACCCCTTGAAGCAAGTGGCCGAAAAATGGACAGCGTGTAGTCACTCTGGTCAAAGAGGCCACCCCAGTGGGGGCACGGGGGACAGAGGGCCCCACCCTGGGAGGAGAGCACTGTCCCCTGTCCAAGGGCAGGTGCAGCCACCCCTCCACCTCCCTTCCCCCCCACCCTCTGTCTGCCCCCAGCTTGGCCCCTTTGCCTGGAGAGATCCTTTGGCTGTTTTGATCACTTGCTTCTAGGATGAGGAGGGCAGGGCTGTTGTCAGAGCCCAGAATCAAAGCCAGAGGAGCAGGTGGACACTGAGGTTGTCCCTTCACCCTGCTCCATGGACAGTGTTGAAGTGGGCATCTGGGTGTGTCTGGGGTATCCCAAGGAAGGGTCTTTTTGTCATGTCACTCTGTTAGGGGCGGTGCACAGAAGCAGGGAGTCCTTTCTGTCCCGAGCTCCTCAGACTCCCAGCTTCCCTGGGTCTCATCTCAGAGCTTTGCCTATGACCTGGGAGCCCTGTGGGTCCAGGGGAGGGGACTGGACACAGCCCCATGAGACTGCTGAGACCTGGACTAGGAACTGGCAGCCTGTGGTTCCTCTGGGCTGTAGGGGTCGGGGCCCCACAGTGGTGGCAGAGCCGGGACCTTGTACACAGCAGCATGGACTCCAGACCCTAGCGGGACCTCTGTTCTCGTCCCAGGGTGACATGAGCTGAGTGGCCCAGCCATCAGGGGCTGCTTCAGGGTCCCTCTGCCCTGGTCTGTCCCTCTCACCCAGTCTGGACCCCTGTGGGGCACTTGCCCTGTCCCCAGAGTTCCTTACAGGGGACCTGGGCAAATCCCAGGGAAGCTTGCACCTGTTAAGGAGGCCGTTCTCCTGCCTCTCCCTTGGGGATCCAGCTTCTTCCTCTCCCCTTGGAACTTCCCCAGGCTCCCGTGGAAACTCCAGCAAGACCTGGTATTTTATCACATTTTCACATTTATCACATTGATTGTTCAGCCAGCGTTCCAGGGACAGAAATGGGGGAGGGGCTGTCCTTCCCCAGGAAAGGGTGGAGCCTCCTTCCATCTTCCTCACAGTTGGCCTAGGAAAGGTGCAAACTCTTAACCACCCCTGGGTTCCCCTGTCGCCTTACAGACCCGCCCTGCCCCGGCTACAGGGGGACCAGGAAGGGGCCAATTGTGTCTGGGACATTCCTGCCCGGAGAGAGTCAGGCCCTAGTGCACAGAAGGATGTGGGTGTGGTCGGTGCGGGCACTGACAGGGGGTGGGGCACGTAAGTCTCTGGGGAGCTCACTGAGAGGTTCCAGGTTGTAGCCCTTATGGAAGTTCCTGGGTCTGGGGGCTAGAGTGAGACTGTTCCCCACTCATGTCTGGGCAGCAGATGCCCAACCAGTGGCTCCCTCTGTCCACCCTTGGCCAGGGAGGGTCCTGGCCTCCCTCTCTGTTGGTGGGGACCCCCCCAACACCCTCTCTTCTCTCCTCTCTGGAGCCCTGCCTGGGTGCATGGCTTGTACAGTGAGTTACTGAGAACTGAACTCTGGACAGTACCTGGGCCCCAATTTGCTTTGAACATTTTAGTCTGAGGCCATCTTTGTCATCAAATGAGAAGGTTCACAGATGTACAGGTGTGCTGATAGTCCAACCTTCCTGGTTTGTAAAACTAGAAGGAGAAATAGACAACATGCCTGTTTCTGTGATGGGCTGTAAAGTGGATCTTACAGATTTGGAGACATTCTGGAAGATCCAGACCTGTCTGGATCAGAGAGGGGAGCAGGCATGGGGCAGTCGTGAGTCCAATGGGGCCTGGGCTGGCAGGAGCAGCAGGGAGGAGGATGTGCCCAGGGTGGGTGAGCTGGGGAGACCCAAGGCTGAGGACCCAGAGGCAGGAGACGCAGGAGACGCCCCAGGGATGCTGAGCAAAGCGTTGTCCCGTGATGCAGCTGTCCTGGGTCTCCCCGTTGAAAGCTCATGTGTGGGCTGTCCTGGCCGTGGGTCCAGGGCTGTATTTGCTCCAGGGGCATTTGATGCAGTTTAAGCCAGGGGAAAGGCCATCGCTCTGGGCAGCAGGAGCCACCGGAAAGGGTTGGGGTAGGGTTGGGTCCTCCCACAGTCCCACAGGGCACAGGAAGTAATTGGGGCTGAGAGTAGAGGTGGCTGGATTGAGATGACACCCCCAAGGAAGGACAAGCCTGTGGGGGAACATGAGCAAGGACCACAGCCCATCTATGTCTGGGAACCCCAAACTTGGTACAGGTGTGGTCTCTGCCCAGGTGGGCTGTGGGTACCGTGGGGCGTCCCACTCTGTGTGCCTCGAGTGTGAACTGGGAAGGGTGGTCTCTGGTCAGACTCACACAACACACCAAGATGAGCTCACACCAGAACCACCCGACACTCAAATGGGAGTTGACAGCCCCCAGGGGACATCTTCTTGACTAGAGGAGTCCAACATCGGGAGACAGAATTGGAGGGGTCCTCACAGCAGGGAACAGGGCCTCCTCTGGCCTGTCCATGAGGAGTGGCGCCCACCAAGATGACAGGGACACTGCTGAGGAGGGAGGATCGCTCCCACCTTCCTCTGAGGTTTCCACCTCAGTGAGCACCAGCCGGCCTGGGAGGGTGAGGAGCTGTGCTCGGTCTGGGTGGCCAGGGTGGGACTGTCCCCAGGACGTGGACTCCCCTGCATGGGACAGCTGGCCAAGGACAGGGGGGTCTAGTGAGAGCCAGGACAGGGGATTAGGCAGGACAGAGGCAGCCCCCGGGCCCACAGGGCCAGCACTTTCTAGGGGCAGCTGTGCTGCGTGCAGCAGGTGGACCTGGGAAAGGATGGCACCAGACCTGCCGCCGGGACTCAGGGACTCACTTGGGGCAGGAGCACAGTGTCCCTCACATTTCTGCAGGGCCCAGAGGTGGGAGAAAGGGCACAGGGTGGCCCTTCTCAGGGGGGATGTGTCCCTGCCGGGGACTCTGTTTGCTGGGAGGGGCTGGACCTCTAGGTACCTTTCAGAGCCTTTAGCATCTCCTCTGGATAATGGGGATGAAAACACTCCTCACCCTAGTTTACAATTATTAGGTACACTGATGCATAGGAGGATGCAGGACCTGCTCATCTCCCATCTCCACAGCCAGAGAAGACGCAGGACACTAACAGACAGCCCAGGATGCAGCAGGTGCCAGGGAGCCTGGACCGGGCACATCCTGCACTGGCCACAGTGGAGGACATAAGGGTGGCTGCCCTTGAGCCTGCTCTCTGGGGTGCTGAGTGTTATTCAGGGCCTTTCTCCAGGGTGTGGATACCTGTCCTCTCACCTGCCCCCTAGTCTCCTGCCTTTCAGACTCCTGCGGCCCAAAAGGAGCAAAGTGGGGCCAGGTCTACATCCCCATTGTCACTCCACAGCGTCCGGTGGGTCAACTGTCAGAGTGGGCACATCAAAACCAAAGCTTGCCCGAAGGCATGGCAGAGAACTTCCTTGTTCTGATGCTGACGTGGGTGGCATGCGTGGCCTGAGAAGGGAGAAGGGGTGGGGCAGGGTATCACTGACTCAGCAGCTTCCAGGTCGCTTTGATGATATATTAAGGCTCTCGAATCCTAAGAGAATGTTGGTGAAGATCTCAACACCACGCCTTGAGCAAGTCGCAGGACGGGGGAGGACATAGACCAGGAACCGAGAAGAGACAAGCACATGGACGGCAGCCCAGCATCCAGGCCCAGGTATGGGAAGCCCCTCCGAGCACCTCTGTGCCTCGCCTCCTCTTCGAGCTTTTCTGATGAGCACTCACCTCTCATCCTCAAACCCCTGGGGCCTCTCTTTTCCCCCTGACCCTCTCTCTGGACTTGGCCTCTTGCTCTAGGTTCCCAGTTTTGGTCTCTCCTTTCCTTTCCTTTCCTTTCTTTCTTTCTTTTCCTTCCTTCCCTTCCTTCCTTTCTCTTTCTTTCTTTCTTTCTTTTTTTTCTTTCCTTCCTTCTTTCTTTTCTTTTCTTTCCTTCCTTCCTTCTTTCTTTTCCTTTCTTTCTTTCTTCTTTCCTTCTTTCTTTCCCTTCCTTCCTTCCTTCTTTCCTTCTTTCTTTTCCTTCGTTCCTTCTTTCCCTTCCTTCCTTTCCCTCTTTTTTCTCTTTATTTCCTTCCTTCTCTTTCTTTCTTCCTCTCTCTTTCTTTCTTTCCTTTCCTTCTTTCTTTTCCTTCCTTCCTTCATTCCTCTTTCTTTCTTTCTCTCTTTCTTTCTTTCTTCTCTCCTTCTTTCTTTCCCTTCCTTCCTTCTTTCTTTTCCTTCCTTCCTTTCCTCTTTCTTTTTCTTTCTTTTCTTTTTCTTTCTTTTCTTTCTTTCTTTCTCTCTCTTTCTTTCTTTCTTTCTTTCTTTCTTTCTTTCTTTCTTTCTTTCTTTCTTCCTTCCTTCCTTCCTTCCTTCCTTCCTTCCTTCTTCCCTTCCCCTTCCCCTTCTCCTTCCTTCCTTCCTTCCTTCTTCCCTTCCCTTCCCTCCTCTCCCCTCCCCTCCCCTTTCCTTTCCTTCTCCCTTCCCTTCCCCTCCCCTCCCCTGCCCTGCCCTTCGCTCCCCTCCCCTCCTCTTTCGTTCTTTTTTTTTTTTTTTTGAGACGGAGTCTCGCTCTGTCGCCCAGGCTAGAGTACAGTGACACCATCTCAGCTCACTGCAAGCTCCGCCTCCCAGGTTCATGCCATTCTCCTGCCTCAGCCTCCTGAGTAGCTGAGACTACAAGCGCCCGCCATCACGCTCAGCTAATTTTTTGTATTTTTAATAGAGACGGGGTTTCCCCATGTTTGCCAGGATGGTCTCGATCTCCTGACCTCGTGATCCACCTGCCTCGGCCTCCCAAAGTGCTGGGATTACAGGCGTGAGCCACCACACCCAGCCTCTTTCTTTCTTTCCTTCCTCCCTCCCTCCCTCCCTCCCTCTCTCTCTTTCTTTCTTTCTTTTGCTGCTGCCTCAACAGAGATTTTTCTAATTCTGGTTATGTCAGGATGCATAGTGAGGGGCTGGGAGAGGCCTTCAAGGTGGGGCTGGTGTTTCCAGTCCAAGAGTCCTGAACTGCCCCATCTCAACTGCCTGAGAAGCACATTTGGGAGACCTCAGGGCACCCTAAGGGATGTGGAAAATCCTATGAATTATCCGAAAAGAAGTCCTGGCAGGTTCCTCTCCCCAGTAATCCCCCTCAGGAGGGTCACTGTCCTGATGCTGGATGTGGTAGGAGTTAACCCTGCAGGCAGGAGGAAGCCCCAGCGGGTCCATCTCCAGCAGGGATTGAGAGAGAGCTGAGCCAGGACAGGGGTGCATGGTGAGGCCAGGGAAGGAGACCCAGCTCTACCCCAGGGAGAGGGACTAAGCACACTGAGCTGACCCTGGGGAGACCCTGACAAGGCTTACACAGGCCGCAGGGCTGCAGTGATCTCCCAGTGAGCCCCAGAAGGGGTCAGAGGGGGAGGTTTGGAGGCGGTGCTAAGGGATGTGGGGAGCAGGGGGAAGGAGGGTGGGGTGCAAGGGAGGAAGTGTGGGGAGGGAGGAGGAGGCAGAGCAGTCCAGGAGGGCTCTTCCTCCTCTGGGCTTTCCCCCTGCTGTCCACAGACACTTGATGGATCCAAACACATTCACTTTCAACTTTAACAATGACCTTTCGGTCCGTGGACGGCACCAGACCTACTTGTGCTACGAGGTGGAGCGCCTGGACAATGGCACCTGGGTCCCCATGGACGAGCGCAGGGGCTTTCTATGCAACAAGGTGACCAACTCAGCCACCTGCATCCAGGCTGGGCCCTCCCAGTCCATGGACATGCATAGGCAGAAGGTTCTGGGTGGTACCTGTGGTGTCCCGCAGAGTGTCTGTCACCTGTGCTTCCTGTAGCTGCTGCTGCTTGGCCCTGGGATTGGGGGCGGGGGGAACTTCGGCTTCAGTGACTCTCCATGGCCAGGTGGGGTGGAGTCTGCCTGATGGCAAAGTGCTTCCTGAGGAGCCTCCCAGGATCCCCTCACGGACGCAGCTCCCACCAGGAGCGATTTGGAACTGTGGGATTTGAGAACTCAGGGCCTACCTGACTCACAAGGCCGGGATGCCCCTGTGCCTGCTCTTTGGCCTCATCCTGCAGGGAGAGAGACTGAGGCAGGAGCGGCCGATCAGGGGTTCTGTCCGGCCCGGGGTGGAGTCCACAGCAAGGCCAGAACAGGCCTCATGTCAGGATGCAGGGATGTCCAGCATTTGGGGAGGAGCTGGGCCAGGCCAGGCTGAGGGGCCCTGAGCCTGTGGGACTTTCTTCCCTGGACCCTACCCAGCACAGCCTCTGTCTGGAGAGGCCAGGTTCTGCTTGGCTCTGGTGCTGGAAACTGGGGGCTTCTCTGGGCTCTGTGAACTCAGTGTGGGCCTTGCTGGACCCACACACACTGCTTAGAACATCCTTTGAAGGGTGCCAGTCTCCATCACTGCCTAAGCAGTGGGACTCCCCCAGGAATGACCCACAGCTCCTTCTCAGCACAAACCGTGTCATCCACTCCACCATGCGATCCCTCTGAATGGAGTCCCTCCCTGTTCTTGTCCCCATCACAATCACAGTCTTTGCTGCCCTGCTGTCCCCAGTTTGACCAGTTCCTAGTCTTAGTGGAAAATCCTTTTCTCCGAAGTTTGGAGAAAATACCATATTTCTATAAGTCATGATAATGACAATTATCCCATGTCCCAGGGACCTTCCCATGTTGGAGTGAGTCTTGCTGGTCTTCCCTTCCCCACTACTTTTGGTGGCCTTTTGGCCTAAGTCTATATCACTTCTGGGCTCAGCACAGGTTGTGGCACAGAATGGAAGCTTCTAGAATTATGGGCCTGAGATGGGATGGCAGTAGGGGAGTTGATGAGTAGAGCAGGTCAATCTCCCCTTGAAAGAACCACACTTACTCAGGGGCATCAGACCAATGACCCTGGGGCTCTGCCAGCTCCTTGTCTCCCTCCCATCTCTGTAACCTCTCCCTGCAGGGCTGGGCCTGGGGTGAGGGTCCTGAAGGCTCTGACCTTGGGTACAAAATTGAAGGGGGTTCCAAATGCTCAGTAACTAGAGAAAACACATTCTAATTTAATAATTAATGCAATATTTTATTTTATTTTATTTTATTTTTTTTTTTTTTTGAGACGGAGTCTCGCTCTGTCGCCCAGGCTGGAGTGCAGTGGCGCGATCTCGGCTCACTGCAAGCTCCGCCTCCCGGGTTCACGCCATTCTCCTGCCTCAGCCTCCCAAGTAGCTGGGACTACAGGCGCCCACAACCGCGCCCGGCTAATTTTTTGTATTTTTAGTAGAGACGGGGTTTCACCGTGGTCTCGATCTCCTGACCTTGTGATCCGCCTGCCTCGGCCTCCCAAAGTGCTGGGATTACAGGCGTGAGCCACCGCGCCCGGCCAAATAATGCAATATTTTAAAAAGGCAAATTTAATACAAATGGATCATGACAAATAAAACCGAAGATTTTAACAAAGACTGACAGGAGAGTGCTGTCACATGTATATCGGAGCTGGGGCAAAATCAAACCTCATTGCTCCTGAACTGTTTGTATTTAATGGACAATATTTTGCTTATCTTGGGATTTCTGCATAACCCTTGATATTTTTAATACTGCAGAGAAAATCATGCATCCTAATAACTGGGGTTTTGGCGACCCCTCTAATTTTGTGCTGGAGGCCCCCGCCTCCCCAGCCCCACCTGGTCCTGGCCCTCCCTCTCTGTTCACCACACATCACCTCACACTCTGTTTCCTTTTCTAGGCTAAGAATGTTCCCTGTGGTGATTATGGCTGCCACGCGGAGCTGTGCTTCCTGGGCGAGGTTCCTTCTTGGCAGTTGGACCCGGCCCAGACGTACAGGGTCACTTGGTTCATCTCCTGGAGCCCCTGCTTCAGGAGGGGCTGTGCCGGGCAAGTGCGTGCGTTCCTTCAGGAGAACACACACGTGAGACTGCGCATCTTTGCTGCCCGCATCTATGATTACGATTTCCTGTATCAGGAGGCACTGCGAACGCTGCGGGATGCTGGGGCCCAAGTCTCCATCATGACCTACGAGGGTAAGAATGGAAGGTTTGGGTGGGGTGGGGTGGGGTGGGTGGGGGCAGGAGAGGTCTCTGGGAAGAAAAGGAGAAAGGCCTTGGTCCGCTGCCTGCAGAGACGATGGCTGCGCTGTGGGACCCGACTTTGCGGTCTATGGGAAGAGAGAGGCCAGACCAGGAGATGTGGGCCTGGGGAGGGCAGGGAGGGTGGCTGGAAGTGGAAGCAGAACTTGGGGCTTCCCGAAAGAATGAGAACTGGGCTGGCCCAGATCCCAGTGGGAAGTGCCTGATGAAGGAGCTCAGTCCCTAGGGGAGGGAGAGGGACAGGAGGGACTGAAACCAGGACGTGGGAAGTCTGTCCTGAGAGTCACGGGCTCTTGGTGCCACCCCGTCCCCACAGCCGGAGTGTGACTTATCTCCCCTGTCCCTTTTCAGAATTTAAGCACTGCTGGGACACCTTTGTGGACCGCCAGGGACGTCCCTTCCAGCCCTGGGATGGACTAGATGAGCACAGCCAAGCCCTGAGTGGGAGGCTTCGGGACATTCTCCAGGTGACGGCTTCCTCCCTCTGCCTGGTGCCCCATCGGCCTCCCCCTCCTCCCCTCTCCCCTGGGCCTTGCCTTCCCCTCTGCTCAGAGCCTCCTCTGGGTTCCTGCTCCCCCCAGGGCGCCCAGCTCCATCCCTCCCTTTCCTTCTCACAGCCCCCCTTTCTCTCCCACCTCCCGCATCCCTCCCTCCTCTCCTGTCATTGTCACTGTCCCCAGGCCTCCTCCCTGTGCCCTCTTTCCACTATCTCACCTCCTGCTCCATTCAACCCCACTGCTCTTCCAGAATCAGGGAAACTGAAGGATGGGCCTCAGTCTCTAAGGAAGGCAGAGACCTGGGTTGAGCCTCAGAATAAAAGATCTTCTTCCAAGAAATGCAAACAGGCCGTTCACCACCATCTCCAGCAGCTCACAGACACCAGCGAAGCAAGGCGCTCCTGACCAAGTAGATTTTTTAAAAATCAGAGTGAATTAATTTTAATGGAAAATTTCTCTTATCTTCTAAGTATATAATAGTAAGATTGTGCTCAATATTCTCAGAATTGTTTTTAATTTATTAATGAAATGATTAACTGGCTTCATATCTAGACTAATAAAACATTAAGAATCTTCCATAATTGCTTTGGCTCAGCAATTGTATCATGAATTGCAAGTGTTTACATAAACACTAGCAAACACAAAAAATTAGCCGGGCGTGGTGGTGGGCGCCTGTAGTCCCAGCTACTCAGGAGGCTGAGGCAGGAGGATGGCGTGAACCCGGGAGGCAGAACTTGCAGTGAGCTGAGATCACGCCACTGCACACCAGCCTGGGCGACAGAGCAAGACTGTGTCTCAAAACAACAACAACAACAACAACAACAAAACGTTAGCAAATGTGTAGATGTCTTTCCTTGTGTAGCGGACCTGTAGCGGGGCAAAGGTCACACGACATCCCTCTGGAGCCAGAAAACTCAGCTAAACCTCACAGGAGAGGAACCTAAATGCAGACCCCACCCTCACTCGCAGAGCCCCGGGCGCTGATTGGAAGGGACAGGCCCAGCAGTAAGAGGACAGCCAGCAGCCAGTCTCCCTGTTGGAAAGGAGCCACACAGGTGCAGGCAGGGGCCCTCCAGAGCAGCCCTGTGTCCACCCCTTCCTGATTCCACCCCCTAGAGAGGGAGCCCAGGGGAGGCCGTGGCTGAGACCCAGGACAGGGCCAGTCAGGGGAAGGAGCCCAGGAAGGGCGCAGGTGTCCAGGCTGGGCCCAGAGAGAGCGCTGGGGAGAGGAGCAGCCCAGGAGGCAGAGCCCAGCCACAGAGGGGAGGGGAGCTGAGCCCTGGAGACAGGAGGCTCCGGAGGCAGAGACGGAGCCCAGGGCTAGGGCAGCATGTGTCAGGGCTGTGGCTTCAGCTTGGGGTCTGTCCCGGGCCTTCCGTGCTGGTTCCCAGCTCTGGGATGTGTGACTTATGTGCCTGATTACGGCAGGCGGCTCCCACCTCACGAGTTCTGGAAAGTCCGCAGAAGCCGCGTAAAAGACCAAGAACCGGCCTCACACGCAACTGCTCCTGGGCAGAAACGACTCACTGCTTCCCTGGCCTAGACACACACACAACACACAAACACGCACAACACCCACACCACACACACACAAGACACACACACAACACACACAACACACAAACACACACACACAACACACAACACAACACAACACACAAACACACAACACACACACACAAACACACACACAACACACACACACAAACACACAACACACAACACACACAACACACACACACACAACACACACACAACACCACACACACAAACACACACAACACACAACAACACACACAACACACACACAACAACACACAACACAACACACACACACACAGCACACAAACACACACACAACACACATACACAACACACAACACACAAACACGCACGCAACACACAAACATGCACAAGACACACATACACACACAACACACACACAACACACCACACACAACACACACAAACACACACAACACACACACACAACACACAAACACACAAGACACACATACACACAACACACACAACACATGCACACACAACACATGCACCCACACACAGTGACAGAGACTTGACAAAAGGAAACCTCCTCCAGGTGCCCCAGAGCACTCCAGGGCACACCCCAGCCCCGCCCTGAGCCTAGGACTTCTGCGTTTCCCACACAGGGGCGGGTGCGGGAGGGACCGGGTTGTCCAAGCTGCCCTTTGCTTGTGTCTCTGGGTTTGACAACCGCCCCAACTCCACTTGTTGGAAGTAAGTGATGAAAAACGTGCAGTCATTCTGGGAAAGGGGCCAGTGTAGGGGAGGCCAGAGGGGCTCAGCTGGTGAAAGAACCCCACAGTTAGTCATGTCACAGGGCAGGTCCCAGGGAGACCCGCCCCCTGTCCCCCAGAACCCCACCTTCCAAGGGCCCAGGCTCCCTGTCCCCTGGGCCTCAACTCACAGCTTTGCCCATGACCTGGGAGCCCTGTGAGTCCTGGTGAGGTGACTGGACACAGCCTCATGACACTGATGGGACCTGGGCTGGGAACTGAGAGCCTGTGGTCCCTCTGGGGTGTAGGGAGACGGAGCCCCACAGTGGTGGCAGAGCAGGGACCTCGTACACAGCAGCATGGACTCCAGACCCAAGCGGGACCTCCATTCTGGTCCCAGGGTGACCCGGGCTGCACAGCCCAGCACCTACCCAGGGTCCCTCTGCCCTGCTCTGTCCCTCAATATTCTGGACCCCTGCTGGGTACCTGCCTTGTCTCCACTTACAGGGGACCAGGGTGAATCTCGGGCAAAGCCTGTATCTGTGAAGGAGGCCATTCTCCCTGCTCCCATCCCTGCCGCCCACATGGGGAACCAGCTCCTTCCTGTCCCCGGGGACCTTTCCTGGGCTCCAGTGGAAACTCTAGCGGGATGTGGGGTCTTTCATTTTCCCTCAGTGTTGCAGAGGCTGAAATGGGGAGGGGCTTTCAGTCCCCAGAAAAGGGCACAATCTCTTTCCTTCCCTCCAGCTGGCCCAGGGACGGTGCACATTCTTATCCCAGTCACCCTGAGGACTGCAGCGCTGCTATGAGCCCAGAGTCACCGCCAGGTTCTATGGATGCCTTACACACTCTTTCCTGACCTCACCTCAAGAGGACCAGGAAGGGGCCAGTTCCCACTGGGTTTTTGCTGCCCTGAGAGAGTCAGTCTCCAGTGCACAGAGGAACGTGGGTGTGCAGGGTGGTGGCACTGGCAGGGGGGCACAGCAGTCCCAGGGGAGCCCTCCCTGTTGTTTCAGGTTGTGGCACTTATGGAAGATCCTGGGTCCAGGCGCTGGAGTAAAATCGTTCCCATGGAAGAGGTGAAGGTTGCAGTGAGCCGAGATCACACCGTTGCACTCCAGCCTGGGCAACAGAGCAAGACTCCGTCTCAAAAAACAAAACAAAACAGCATCTTAGAAGATGCAAAGACAGCTTAGAAGCTATCTTAAGAGCTTGAAGCGTGCTGCCATGCCAAAGAAAGCATTCCCAGTTCAACAAAACTCTTAGCGAGCTTTCTTAATCTCATAAAAGGTTTCTAGATAAAAGGTTTGTCTACTACAAATATCTGCTAGATGGTAAAATCAAAGTCAAGAAAAAAGGCTGGCTCCCGAAACCCCAATCCAGCATTGGGTTAGAGGCTTCTGCCAACAGAAAAATGGGCAAAGGATATGCACAGGCAATTTATAGAAAAAATGAAATAAGCAATAAAATATGCAAAATTGAACAGCCTTATTAATACACGGGTAAAACTAGTGGAATATCACTTTGGAGAGTGTGCAATACAAAGTGGCTCACCCAAATGAATAAAAATAAAACGTAATGCAAATAGTAACAAAAGAGAGCAGCAGTGGCATGCTAATATCAGATAAACAGATTTAACAATGTAGTGCTCATGACTATAATCTCAGCTACTCAGGAGGCTGAGGGGAGGATTGCTTGAGCCAGAGTTCAAGACTAGCCTGGACAACATAGTGAGACCCAATCTCTTAAAAAAATTTAGAGTTTAAATGATGAAATGTTATAAGACATGAAGAAAGACTTTTTTTTTTTTTTGGTCGGAATTTCTCTCTTGCTGCCCAGGCGAGAGTGCAATGCTGCGATCTTGGCTCACCGCAACCTCCGCCTCCCAGGTTCAAGCGATTCTCCTGCCTCTGTTTCCCAAGTAGCTGGGATTACAGGCATGCACCACCACACCCAGCTCATTTTTTGTATTTTTAGTAGATATGAGGCTTCACCATATTGGCCAGGCTGGTCTCAAACTCCCAACCTCAAGTGATTCTCCCACCTTGGCCTCCCAAAGTGCTGGGAATAGAGGTGTGAGCCACCGTCCCCAGCTGGACATTATATATTAATAAAAGTTTTAAGGCATCAAGAAGTATAACAGTTCTAAAAATTTACACACCAAGGCCGGGGTATTCACTCATGCCTGTAATCCCAGCACTTTGGGAGGCCAAGGTGTGCTGATCACCTGAGGTCAAGAGTTTGAGACCAGCCTGACCAACGTGGTGAAACCCTGTCTCTACTAAAAATACAAAATTAGCTGGGCGTGGTGGCCCATGCCTATAATCCCTGCTACTTGGAAGGCTGAGGCAGGAGAACCGCTTGAACCCAGGAGGCGGAGGTTGCAGTGAGCCAAGATCTTGCCATTGCACTCCAGCCTGACTGACAGAGACTCTGTATCAAAAAAAAAAAAAAAAAAAATTACACACTTAATAATAGATCACCAAAATATATGAGGCAAAAATTAACAGAATGAGGGAGAATTAAAGTTCTACAATAATTGGAGACGTCAGTGCTCGATGCTCAATAATGGACAGAACAACCAGATAGAAAAAAAGGAAGGAAATAGAGAACTCAACACAATAAGCCAACCAGATCTAACAGACATATACAGAACACTTCACCCAATGACAGCGGACAGCCACTGTGGAAAACAGCACGGCAGTTCCTCAAAAAACTAAAAATAGAATGGCCAGATGATCCAGCAATTCCACTGCCGGGTGTACACTCAAAAACATTGAAAGCAGAGTCTCAAAGAGATATTTGTACACCCACGGAAACAACCCAGGTTTTCATCAATACGTGAATGGAGAGGCAAAATGTGGTCTACACATACAATGGAGTGTTATTCAGCCTAGAAAAGGAAGGAAGTTCTGACCCATGCTACAACATGGATGAACCTTGAGGATATTATGCTGAGTAAAATAAACCAATCACATAAAGAGAAACACTGAATGATTCCACTTACATGACGAACTTAGAATATTCAGAATGGCCAGCCCAGTGCAGTGGCTCATGCCTGTAATCCCAGCACTTTGGAGGTCCAGGTGAGCGGATCACCTGAGGTCAGGAGTTTTGTTGTTTTTTTTTTTTTTTTTTTTTGACAGGCTGTGTCATCCAGGCTGGAGTACAGTGGTCTGATCTTGGTTCACTGCAGCCTCTGCCTTCCCGGCTGAAGCAATTCTCCTGCCTCAGTCTCCTGAGTGGCTGGGATTATAGGGGCCCGCTACCATGCCCAGCTAATTTTTTTTTTTTTTTTTTGACAGAGTTTTGCTCTGTTG